GGTTTTCCGTACCTTTTTTTCTGAGTGCTTGCAGATATTGAGCTAATTTTTGGTATGTGAGTGTATCTTGATGATTTATAGATCAAGTTTGCATTATGTTTTGCTTCAATGATTTTTTTTTATGGAATTAGGCATTTTCAATTTTGAATGGGAACCAGATTACACTTGCACGTCGCGGACTTGTATTGCTAATGCAATACTCTCACGTATGCTTGTTTAAAACAGCATTTAACAAGATGTGTTTGTGAAACACTGATGCCCCCGTATGGCAACTTATAGCAAAGGTTAAACTTTCTCAAATGCAAATCAAATATGTTGCTACCCAAAGTAAGGTCTCGTCTCGAGAAATATACCTGTGAAATATGAAAGCCCTAGTAGCAACCATTGAATAGATATGGAAAAGGTTAAAGTTTTTCAAAAGTAAGTCAAACATGTAGGTCAAGGTCAAATGGTCAAAATTAATGGTGCCCAAGGAGAGGCCTTCTCACAAGAAAGACACATGTGAAATATGAAAGCCGTAGCACAAATCGTTCAAAAGTTATGGCCAAGGTAAAAGTTTTTCAAACTCCAAGGTCAAGGTCAAATTGTCAAAGTTGTTGGTATCCAAAGGAAGGTCTTGTCACAAGGACTACATATGTGAAGTATGAAAGCTGTAGCACTAACCGTTCAAAAAATATGACAATGTTAAAGTTTTTCAAAACTGGATCAAACTCCAAGATCAAGGTAAAAGGGTCAAAGTTGTTGGTATCTAAAGGAAGGTCTTGTTACAAAAATTACATATGTGAAGTATGAAAGCCCTAGCACTAACCATTCAAAAGTAATGGCCAAAGTTAAAGTTTTCCAAAAGTAGGTTAAACTCCAAGGTCAAGGTCAAATGGTCAAAGTTGTTGGTATCCAAAGGAAGGTCTTGTCACAAGAATTACATATATGAAGTATGAAATCCCTAGCACAAACCATTCAAATGTTATGGCCAATGTTAAAGTTTTTGCAAAACTGGATCAAACTCCAAGGTCAAGGTCAAAGGGTCAAAGTAGTTTGCATCCAGATAAATGTCTTTCACAAGTCTTACATATGAGAAATATGAAAGCCCTAGCACCAACCATTCAAAAGTTATGGCCAAGGTTAAGTTTATCAAAAGTAGGTCAAACTCCAAGGTCAAAGGGTCAAAGTAGTTTGTATCAAAAGGAAGGTCTTTTCATAAGAATTATATATGTGAAGTATGAAAGCCCTAGCACTAACCATTCGAAAGTTATGGCCAATGTTAAAATTTTTTGCAAAACTGGTCAACCTCCAAGGTCAAGGTCAAAGGATCAAAGTTGTTTGTATCCAAAATAAGGTCTTGTCACAAGTCTTACATATGTGAAGTATGAAAGCTCTAGCACAAACTGTTCAAAAGTTATGGCCAATGTTAAAGTTTGGTAAACTTTTGCAAAACTGGGTCAAACTCCAAGGTCAAGGTCAAAAGGACAAATATGGTGGTACTCAAAGAAAGGTCTTGTCACAATGAATACACATGTGAAATATGAAAGCCATAGCTCAAACCAATCAAAAGTTATGGGCAATGTTAAAGTTTTTGCGGACAAACAGACAGACAGACAGAAAGACGGACGGACAGAGCAAAAACTATATACCCCCAAATCTTCGATACGGGGGCATAAAAAAGAACGACGGAAAGAGTAAAGCTTTAATATAGAGAAACATCACGTGACCAGAATGTATTACTACGAGATCTTTTTTTCGTAATTACGAGATTAATATCTCTTGATAACGAGATAACTACATTGTACATGTACCTGTGATTTCGAGACAGTGAGAACGTGAATTTATTTTTTGTACTTGATACTAATGAAAAATGGAGATAACATAACGAACAGTATTCAAGCTCAAGGTCCATTCAGACAATACAATTCGGGAGCAGAGCAAACACGACCTCCAAAAACATCAGAGGTTGGATCAGGTGCCATGAAGGAGTAAGCATCCCCTGTCGACCGGTCACATCCGCCGTGTGCTCCTTGTCATGATCGTTAAAAACTGAAAAATCCGTAGACAATTCAAAATCAGATTTGAATTCTTCCTCCGAGGGTACTGAATCTCTTACCCTCCCCAACCACCTCAGTGAAGCAATTTTGTCATTTCGCAGTTCCTGCTAATCTAAATGTCTGTTTTTCTACATTCACGCAGTGTCTGCGTAATCTTTCTCTTCTAACATCAAATTAAAATGAAAGATCATGAACTATTTGTAAAAAAAGATACCAAGTAAACTCGATGTAAAATACATATTTTTTTATAAATATAAGAGAGACCAAAACTAAAACTGGTGTGTACCAAAAATACAGTTCTACTATGCTAAATTTCGTAATAAGAATACTTCATTCAAAGAACGAAGGGGCTTCTGGGTGCTTCGATGACAGGACTCATTGAGTCTAACGGCAGTCCAAGATTCCTTAAAAGATTTATCGCGCCCCCTCCTTATTCTGAAATCTTTCATCTGTCCCTGGCCTCCTTCATAATCTTCCTGCATGATTCGTTATCTAAGAAATAATTGTATAAAGTTTTGGTTTTAAAAAATAATCAATCGGTTTGTTTTCGTTGTAATTTGCATAAACGTTTCCGGCGACAATGCATAAATCACTTGAAAACATATTGATTTATTACATCATAAAACAGAAAACATAAACAAACCCAGACAGTTATTCCTTAATTATATTTACATTATTCTTTGAATATGCTAAAATGTGCAAAAATTTCTTTATTTTGAAATCATAAGAGATAAATTGTTCTGATAATTTTATTCACTTGGTACATTTTCCAGTTAACCAACCAAAATGCTTCTAAGACTATTCATCGTTTATGCAACTCGGTTCTTTAAATACAATTTTTTCTCGCAATTTTACGAGATCTTACCTCGTAATTACGAGATTTTTTTTCTCAAAATTACGAGATAATTTTCTTTTTATAGCGAGATAATTTTCCCGTAATAACGAGATCTTTTCTCAAAATTACGAGATAATTTTCTTTTTATAACGAGATAATTTTCTCGTAATTACGAGATCTTTTCTCGTAATAACGAGATAATATTCTTGTAAATACAATGTATTTTCTTGTAAGAGATATGTCGGGTCATACTTGATACTCATATGTATATTTTACTCCAGGTTTTTAACTTTCGTTTGGGAGAATGTTTCGGGGAAGGGGGTTAATGTACTTAAAAGGGTGGGATATTAATATGCAATTTTTCAACCTTTTTTCAGAGTTCAATACACATGCAACTTATTGTCTGTATCTAATAACTATGGACACTAATTGTGAAACAAGCTTCTATTACAAAAGTTTCATTCCCTCAACAATACAATTTTGTAACAGTCTTAATGAGAATGTTAAAACTCTCCATCATTATGAATCTTCAAAGCAAAGCATAAGATTCGGAGAGCAACAATTCAATCCAGTAAATACTTAAGTTTGGTAATAGCGAAGGAAATGTTTTACATCGTCAGTTTCGAAAAAGCAAGCAAGTTAAATGCACGTTCAAAAAATTATTTTCATCAGTTTACAATCATGTGAACAATGCGGCCTTTGTATTGAAGATACTGAACAATATTTTATATTGTTTGAAATATACGTACATAAAGATAAATTCAATGACCTCAGTGCTGTATTGGAACAGTAAGTAAATTTAAGGTAGTTATCCTCCTGATATTTTTTTTTCTATTTACTCATGTGTGATGCATGATCTTTATCATTGATTACTAGAATACTTTAGTATTACGTGTAAGTAGAACTTCTTGTCTTTGTCTTGGCCTATTATATATGAAGGCAGTATATAAAAGCTTTGCTTGTTTCCCAATTTCATATTCCTTATTGAATTTATTCAATAAATTGTTTTATACAGGCCCATAGGCAGAGAGCAGTTTTATTATTAACATCATCATTGAGGTGGAGGGGATAACAGGAATCTTTAACAAGCAAAAAAAAAAGTCATCGGACATTTTTGGGGGGGGGGGGCACAATAGCAAATAGTTCTGTTTTGTAATGTAAAGTAGATAGTATATACTTGTAAATTTATTGAGGGGGCACAACAGTAATCAAAGATAACGTAAAGGAGCTTTATTTTCCATAGTAAAGTATATACTAGCAATTTTTTTTGGGGGGGGGGCATCCCTGTGTGCCCCCACCCCCGCCTTCTACGGCCTGATTGAAGCCTTTCTTCCATACTACTTAGATTGACTTGCTTTTTTATAAAAGCGCTCCTATTATCGAAAATACTACAAAGATCTATGTATTTTTCATCAACTATCTTTCAAAGTAAATCTAGTTAAATCTAAGTGCCTTGATCAAGGATTTTTATTTTCGAAGTTCAGCATTATCATCTCCACTCAGAGATTCAAATTAAACGTATTTCAGGATTTAAGCTCAGCATTATCATCTCCACTCAGAGATTCAAATTAAACGTATTTCAGAATTTAAGTTCAGCATTATCATTTCCACTCAGAGATTCAAATTAAACATATTTCAGAATTTAAGTAAATTGAAAAGAAGAACGGAGCACAAAAAGCACGTTGCTAATGAACAATAAAAGAAGTAATAGTCTTAAATGATTGGAGCAAACAAACAATGGTGCAATATTATCTCAAGCAGTGTCATCATTTTGGTCAAATATAACCTTAGGATAAATGCACTCAAAAGTAACAACCAGTTCATAAGAATATTGTAAAACTTTAATTATTTTAGATTCATTAAATGAATTTTCTTGACAAAAAAAAATATATAAGCCCAAGTTGATAGTTTTTGACATTTGTTTTCAAACAAAATTTTCTTACTTTTTCCGACAAATGATAATGACTTTCACATCAGTTATTAATTCAAATAATAAGTTCTGGACAATGGTTTATGACAGAAACACTATTTTATACAGACATTTTATTGCTGTAATTTTTTTAATGGTTGGTACTTTTATTGAACAAGGTTCGGATTTAAACGACATTTATTGTAAAGGTACTTACTTTTCGCTTTGAAGAGGCTTGGCGTTCATCTTGTCGTTGAACAGCTTCTCCCGGAATTATTTTTATCCAGATCATATAAGCAATACGGCTGTAAGTCAACGTAAGTACTAATAACGGAATGAAATACTGAAGAAGCATGATGAAAAGACTATACGTTGATCTGAACTTTTCATCCATGTCTTCATAGCATCTTCCCTTCTGGCATATACCTGTTAAGTTTTCGAATGCTATTTTAACCCTCCCTGTAATGGCTGTGGGGATTGGAACTACAAATGCTATAACCCACACTGCTCCAGAAATACACACCGCTCCTTTGTGAGTAAGTTTTGGTCTCAGTGGATAAATGATTGCCGCATACCTATCTGCACTCATTGCAACCAGTGTAAAGGCACTGGCAAACACAGTTACAATCTGGGTATATAGAACAAAGGGACACATAAAGCTCCCGAAAGGCCAGTATGCAAGCATAAGGTTTGGAATGAAAGAGAATGGAACCAAAATAATTGTTTTCATTATATCAGCAACTGCTATGTTGAGCAGAAAAAGATTTGTAACACTCTGAAGCATTTTCTCTGTAACTATGATGTAACATACAACAAAGTTTCCGACAAGAGCAACAACGGTTATTGAAGAGTACAGAATTAAAAATACACATTCTGTGAGTCCTATATTTGAAACGCAGTCGTCTTCAAGAAGAATTTGGCCACTTTGGTTTGACATGTTTGTATTGTCCTCCATTTCGAATTGTAAGTTGTGATCCTCTGAAGCCTGTAATCGTTGCATATGACAACCGGTCTTTTCAGATAGGCTAAGACGCGTATCGCTCTGCGAATGATCGACAAACCTAGCTTGCTTAGCCTTTATATGATACATGAAGTCGATTCAATGTATAGTTTATGCAGGCAATAGAGCATAACTTGCATTGAGAAAAGATTAAATATCGGCATAATTGATATTTTATTTTCAGTTTTACCAACTTAATTCACCAGTATACAGCTGTATGTTACATGTTGTGGAAAAATATATCAATTTCTAAAAATATTTTAGTTCACCCTTCTCCTAGCGTAGGTTTAAACTCTACTAAATGGAGGAAAAGAAAATATCAGTTTTAAACATTTTGTTTTAAAAATGAATACGTTATAATGTGATCCATTTTAAAATTTATGCAAGAGCACGATAGGTTTGCTATTGAGGTCTTTTAGTAATGCATAAATTGGTGAGGTTGAATAGGTTATCACGTGCACATGCTTTCTAACAATACTATCGGCTGTGAATTTCACACTTGATTATATGCCATTCAGCTATACCGTATCTTGAACATTAATTAAGTGATCATATCTATTATTTTTCAAAACATAATGCTGAAAAATAGCATCTGGGTTCAATATGTAGCGTTGTAGAGAAAAACGTAACATTTGTTTTCCTTTTTAGTTTTATTCTTAATCTGTTTCATTGATGATTTTTAATGGTTTGTGAATGGATGATTTACATTTTACTGAAAGATGGTCGAGTGGATTTAGCTTTTAACCTGTAGAAAAGCTAATGCTGCTTAATTACATTTTTTATTCTATACTAAACAATTTTTATGTTTTGAAAATTTGTATTTTACTGAAAATCAAGAGGCCCCTGAGCCTTGAAGGTCACCTTGGAATCAAAATATTCTAAATTCATGATCAACTCAGTCCATCTTGAATTCTGGACTCGGTTAAACTGAACTTTACAGTTTACGATAAACTCAGATCCACATTAATACTTGAGTCATATATTCAGTTTGTTAATTGCTTAGTATTCTGAAATAAATAAAATTATCAAATATCACCAACTAAGCCCATCCAGGGATCGAACCCTGGGCCCAGGTTACGTGAATTTAAAAATTTTGGTAGAGGACTAGCTGTTCACTAAATCAATTCAAACAGTCAGCCTGTTAAGTGTCCATGAGTATAAAGAAGAATATTTTTAAATTTGTTTTATTTTTCAATTTATAACCAACCAGTTTCACAACCAAGCTGCGTATAAGCATCATGCAACCGGTTTGTCTGCGAGATTTCTAGGAGTGTCGAAATTATTTGTTGAATGCATCAATTTTGATGGTTCGGACACCTTCTTCATGCTCCTTTGGTTTTCCCTTAATCTAGAAATACATGTACTACATATTAACATTGGTCGAAACTTGCTCATCATATTTGAAGAAAGGCCCGTAGATCGCGAGGGACCCGGCCCAAACTTTTCTTCTGAGTAAAGTATTTAGCTATAGTAAATTGTTTAGATGCTGGTTAGTTAGCCCCCTCCCCACCCCACACACTTTTTGTTGCTTTAAGGTCGACCATTCTAGGTTTTGCTTGTCAGATTTTTTTTTTTTTTTGGGGGGGGGGGAGGGGGGTCCTCCCTTTTAAATCGATGCTACGTGCCTGGAAGAAGGTGGAAGTGTTGAAAGGTATGCGAATGATGCACGACGTCGGAACGGAACCCATCTGAGTGCCTCAGACAACCTAAATTTTAAAAAGTCTGATTATTTATGTTTTATTAGGAGAAATGCACACTTTAACCCAATTGCAGTAGTTTTAAGTAAAAAAAATATGAAAACTAATTTGATGAATTCTATCAGTGAAAATATAAATTTCTCTAAAGCTACAAACATCTTAAGATTCAACATTTATTCTGAAGTTACAATATTTGTACGTTTGCTTTCAAGTGTTTTAAATCATTATCATGCAAATTTGACAAAATAAAATTAACTTTGACAAAAATAAAATTTTGACAAAACAAAATTAATTAAACCTTCAATAATGGCGATTTAGCTCTCAAAATCACAGTAGGGCTGTACCATCAGTAATGTTGTCCCAGAGATATTTTTTATGATATATGACACTTGTTATACACAGATGGAATTTTATTCTTGTATAAAAAATCAATAAGTTATTCTCGATTTGAACAGATGCAAGTGTACAAGGCACTCTTTATAATATTTAATACCATCTTCCACGCAATGGGTTTCTTTCTCGAGTTTTCCATCAAATTTTGTTAGGACCTTTAGTCTGAAAATATTACATCATAATTTAGATACAGTATATTAAATATTAATATATTAAAAATTCCATAAACACTTTTAATTATAGGTTCTAACCGAACTTAAACAGAATAAAACGGTCAATCATAAATCGTCTAGATGAAGTATTTTTTTAACATCTGTATTTAAAGTTATTCAAGTATTTCTTTTATGTGCATATTCTGTTAATTTCTTGTGTTGGATATTGAATTCTAAGTCACCGGGAATATACATGTAAAACGAGAACATCAGAACTGATATCTATTGATCTCAATTTATTATAATAGTTAACTTGCTAAATTTTTTTCTCTTATATTTTGTGAGATCCATGTATAATAAGTCCAGATTTTTGTTACACATAAAATTGAAATAAAAGGATAAGGGACCCGATGAATTCTCTAAAGGAATATACGCCCTCATAAATTAACACTGCTTTCAAAAAAGAGGGTGAACTAGTATTTGTCGGTAAAAGTTTCAGTAAAATGGAAACTCTGTAATCCAGACATAACTTAATTTTTTTAACTAAAATATTTGTTTTTAAAATACTTGTACATTTTCAAAAAAGCCTTCTGGTTGAATTTCATATTGACTGACTTTAGTTTGTAAATATTTTATATTTTATTGATTTCCTATATTGACAAATGTATAAAGCTGAACTATTTGTGACTATTGTTTGGATGAAATTTTCGATGGGGGACATGATATTATGTAATATGATAAAGTTTAGCATTGCAAGTCATTAAGACTTCAGTTACTGCAACAATCACCAATTATGTAGCTATGTACTCAAGCATCAACTATTATCTCTGTAAACTTTTGATGACATAATATTCTGTATCATTAATTATTTGAGAATTTATAATCTAAAAATACCTTGTGTCATAAAAAATCAATGAAAATTTACCGAGAACACTGTATGGTTTATTTGTGTTTTTATATCATAGGTAGAAACGTTAACATATTCAGAAATTAAATCACATGAAACGTGAATGTAATATTTTAGGTACGTTAATAATAAAACGAAAACTTTTAGCGTGTAGGCCTAGAACAAAAATAATTATGTTAATTGAAAGAGGTAATGAATACATACTACGTAGGAGTATTTCCCAATAAAAGTCATAATGTAGTCAGTATTCTACGCCTACTTCTTTCAGCGGCATCGTTTTTAAACAGTTGCTGAATAGAAATGCATTTTGATAATTGAGGCACTGTAAGTCCTGAGCTCACAAATTCATAATCCTCGCTCCCATAAGAGTATAATGGCAAAGTCCAGCTTTTGTGAAGGAAAACCCCGAATATCTGTGCGATCAAACGGGAAATACTGAGGTGAACAATGGTTCCATGTAATAAAAATTCTGTGAAAGTTCAAGTAAATCTAATTCAATGTTAAAGGAGTTGCAGAGAAGAGATGGATTCCCCAAATATTAAAGAAAAATTGGCAATCTTCAGCTTTTGCTATGCCTACATGTATGGAAAACCCCGAATGTGTATCCAATCGAGACAAAAAAATTGGAGGTGCAAAATGGGTATCTGTAATAAAGCTTCTGTGAGGGTCTCATATTTTATTCAGTTGTACATGAGGAGTTGCAAATAGGAGATGGGTACCTCCAATATTGTAGAAAGGATGGCAAATATGTGTCTGATCAAAGCGAAAAATAAGAGGTGCACAATGACACTACCTTTACAGTCTCATCAAATTTTATTCAGTGATTTAGGAGGCGTTTCGGATAAGATACGGGTACCCCTAAGTGTTACATGTATGGACATATGAAAGGACGTACGGACCTACACCCCAACATGTTATACTCCCATATTTCAAGCGGGGGGTTTAATGTCTTCTTGGCTATTAGAACAGTTGTGGCCAAAGGTCGCTTTATGTCTCTCAGTTTATTTGATATGCAAGTGCATGCTCTACGTATGAGCAATTACTAAAACGAGGCAAGCTATTGACAAACAAGTTAATGAAACACGAATATCAACAGTCTCGTTTAAAGTCATCCATTTGCAAGTTTTATAGTCGATATAATGACCTTGTCATCAAATACAATCTATCATTAAGTCAAATTAATGCTGACTGATCATATTAATTGTTAGGCAATTATTTACACACTGAATTGTATACGGATTTTTCCGTTTTTCCTGATCATGACAAGGAGCAGACGGTGGGTGTGACCAGTCGACAGGGGATGCTAACTTTTCCATGGCACTTGATCCCACTTCTGATGTTTAAGAGGTCCGTGTTTGCTCTGTTCCTGATTTGTATTGTTTGAATGGACTTATGAGCTTGAATACTGTTCGTTATCTCCATATTTCATTCATTGCTAGGCTTTTGAGAACTATTCGCTTTCCTTCGCTTATTATAGAGATCTTACATCATTTCTACAAGTGACATCAGGCAATTGATTTTAGTATTTGACGCCTGTCTAAGAAAATTTACTCATAATAGAGACAAACCAAACTCATTGACTAATGGTGTTTATTCTCTAACGTACATTAATTCTATTTCTACAAAAAGATTCTATCAAGTAAAAACCAGCTTGCATCCAGTGATGAATTGAATCTAAGTATTACATGGTAATATTTTTGGAGAAACAGGGGAGGTTTTCACACATCAATGTGCAGAACACCCTTGATCAGCAAGTAAGTTTATATTTCAACTATTGAATCGGCCCTATGAAAGTCCTACTGAAGGACATTTGGCTCATTGACTTTCCGACGTTGAATGATCCGCCCAAACGGTCTAACATT